CCTATGTGAGGGTTTTTAAATTGACTTTTCCCCAGCCCGCTACACCCTACACAAGCTTTTACAATGGTTTCGAATGTGCAATTTTACCTCAAACCTTTGTAAACGTAAACCCCTCCAGGTTCTATTTTATCACATTTAGAGACAAGTCCAGGAACTTTCTACCCTGCCCTGAATACCCCTGTTGGCTGAAGAGCAGCTGCTGCTGGAGTGGATTTAACCCTGGCCAGGCTGCAGAGCCCAGGGCAATGAACACTCCTGAAAGGTTCCTGCATGGAGCCATAAAAAAACCATGAGTTCGTGTCCTTCATAGGGACATGGATGAATGTGGAAACCGTCATTCTCAGCAAACTGACACGAGAACAGAAAACCAAACACCTTATAGTATCACTCATAGGCGGGTGTTGAACAATGAGAACACGTGGACACAGGGAGGGGAGCGTCACACAATGCGGTCAGCGGGGCGGGGGGCTGGGGGAGGACCGTGGGGGGTGGAGAGGTGAGGGGTGTGGGGGGATGGGGAGTGGGGAGGGGATGTGGGGAGCGGGGGAGGGATAACGTGGGGAGAAATACCAGATATAGGTGATGGGGGGAGGAAGGCAGCAAACCACCTTGCCATGTATGTACCTATGCAACAATCATGCATGATCTGCACATGTACACCAGAGCCTAAAGTATAAATAAATAAATAAATAAATAAGAAAGATTCCCGCATGGTTCTCACTGTGAGAAATCCTTCCTTAGCAAGTACACGCGCCCAGTCCCATAAGGGCCTTGAATAGGGGTAGTGGAAAATTCATTCACGCTGAAGGGACTGAAGGGCTTGAGTCTTGTTTCCAAGCCATGGCCTCCCCAGGGCTTCGCTGCCCTTACCTGTAGGTGGAGATAAATGACAAAGAAAAGCAGTGAAGATGGCGGAGTGAGGCTAGCCGTCAAGATGGCGGAGTGCGGCCAGCTCTAAAGATGGCGGAGTGAGGTGAGCCGCTATGAACTGGCCTCTGGGCTGGGGGCGGGCCAGCCTGGGCAGCACCAGGGAGGCCGAGTGCGTTGGACCCAAGAAAAGAAGAGATCGGCTAGAGGAAGGGAACTAAAGGAACCTTCTTCCTCTTACCTTACAGAGGCGAGTGGTCATCTACACTAAAGCAACCATCTAAAGTAGGGGTCCATAAACTACTGGAAATTTTATGCACAATTACACATTTTTGTGGGAAGCAGAAGGTCCATAGCATCAGATTCTCAGCGAGGACAGTGTTCCAGAAAAGCTTTAGAATCACTGCTCCAAGACTTGACATCTTTTCAAAATTAATGCAAGGAAGAACATTTTCCTTGACCTTTCGGTGCTTTTATATTCACCTCAAAAACAAAATATCGAACTCAGGTCTTGGCAAATTGAACACAGAGGAGCTCCTGGGGGATTCCAGTTATCCTGCCAACTTCTCCAGGAAGAAAGAAGCAACTCACATTGGTCTTCTGCTGTTTGCTTGATTATAAAGACATCATTTTGCAAGCGGAAGGCTGAGTTTCATTTGAAACAGTCTTGCTCTGTTGCCAGGCTAGAGTGCACTGCTGCAATCTTGGCTCACTGCAATGTCCGCAGCCCAGGTTCAAGCATTCTCCTGCCTCAGCCTCCCGAGTAGCTGGGATTATAGGTGCCCACCGCCATGTCGGGCCTGATTTCTTTCTCTAGATACTAGGTGTAGTATTAGGTTGAAAAGGCAGGGACTCAGGTACTTTTCCCAGTTGGGACTGAACTTTCTCATCAAAGAATGGGCCTCAGAAGCAATATTCCCAAACTTGTAGTTGGGTGTCATAGATTCAGGGTATGGAAAAGAAACCTCAAACAAGAAAAATGATTACAATAAGAAATGGATTTTATTTTTTTCACATAACAGTTATACTTTATAAAGAACAGACTATCATAGAAAACTGTCCTTGCTTCCAAATCAGCAGAGGACCATTGTATGTATTGTCAGGTCTTTACATAAGAGTGCAACCTTTATTTATGCTTCTTTCTGAGTAGAGAATAAATTTTAAAACTAATTAAATGAAATTTAAAAAAAAAAAAAAAAGAAAGAAAGAAGAAAAGCATTAGCTTCCATCCGCCAAGTCATCTCCCCACCTGCTGGCTTGATGAGACTTGGAAGTCTCACTGTTGTCATTCCTTTGGTTTAAGGCTTTGAAGGTACCGTATCTGTAAACGTCATATATATTGCCAGCAATAGCTTGGCTCAGCTTATTCATCCACACCTCTGAAATTCTGATAATGGGCCCCACAAAAGTACAAGAGCCTGCTTACACGCTATCCAAGACTCTGTCTTAGTGCTTTGCTTAGTAACCCAGCTACTAGGATGAAGCCCTGCTCTGCTCATGTCAGACACTCTTCCCTGAGTCTGGAGGTCTAGCTCCAAATCCAGATCAGGAACTGGGGCCCCACTGCCAGCTGAGACATGTCCCTGACAGTGCCTGCCTGCCTAGTGTCTTATGCAACTTCTCGCAGCCTGGCTTCCCTGCTGTGTGCTCCTCCACCTCCCCCATTCCCCACTTCTCCCTCTCTGTATACTTGATGTTTTGCTGCTTTCACTTCCCCGATGTTAAGGCTGCTCTGGACCATGCCCTGCTGACTCTCAACTAGCCCCTTTGGATATAGTGTTCTTCCAACATGCCTGGGCTGGACTCCCTTCCGGAGCACGCCTGCCTCCCCTCTCCAGCCCTACCCCACAGAATAGGCCTAGTTTAGAAGGCCCCAAGTGTGTTATCAGCATTGATACTGGTGGATTCTGACAGTCTTCCTGATGATGGGAAAAAAAAAAAATAGGGCTTTTAGAACTTAACATGTATTTACTTGTTTTAATTCAGATCTTTTACATATGCTCCTTCTGCTTCCTTGAGTGAAAAGATTTCTGTCCTTTGAAATTTTTGCAGAAAGAGGTATGTGCGTTTTGCTACAGTTGGTGCCAAACCGTGCTGTTTTAATTGCTGTTTGAATTCTATCTCTTTCAAAAATGTTGGACCAAATTGAGATAAAGGACAGCTGTATTCTGGAATTTTCTGGAAGGAATTTAGACTCACTCACCTGGGTTCTTCCCCTATGCAGCAGTACCCGGCTTCTAAGCTGTCCTATCTCAGCTTTCAGTGTTACCTCCTCAGAAAGGACTTTCTGCTGCCCTATCTGAATACCAGAATCTCTCAGCTCACCTCTGTTAACCCCTTATTTGTTTCCTTCTGACATTTCTCGCAATTTAAATGATTTTATTTAGCTGGGTCCGGTGAATCACACCTGTAATCCCAGTACTTTCGGAGGCTGAGACCGTTGGATCACTTGAGGCCAGGAGTTTGAGACCAGCCTTGCCAACATGACAAAACTCTCTCTCTACTAAAAATGGTAGCACACACCTGTAATCCCAGCTACTCGGGAGGCTGAGACACAAGAATCACTCGAATCCAGAAGGCAGAGTTTGCAGTGAGCTCAGATCGTGCCACTGCACTCCAGCCTGGGCAATATAGTGAGGCCCTGTCTCGAGCGCGCGCGCGCGCGCGCACACACACACACACACACACACACACACACACAATTATTTTATTTGTTTGTTTGTGTTAGAGTGCCTTCCCCACCAGACTATAAGATCCAAATGGCAGGAACCATGTGTGGTTTCTAAAATTATACTCCTAAAGCCTAACATAATGCCTAGCTGTTCAAGAATTCTTTGCTGAGTGACAGTATTTTCCAGTTGAAATGACAATAAAAAAACTATAGACCCTACCTATCTCTGATGACTGTCAAGTGACCAAGGAGAGGAAAAATCCCTAATCCTATTCTACTTACAAATCTAGGATTTAAAAAAACCTGTTTATTATCAAGGACCAACTGCAGGGGCTTCCAGAACCTCCTGAGGATTGGGACATAGGCAGCTCCCTGCAGCCTCGCTATTTTCCTGATTTCCACATCATGACAGCAATCCTTCAAGACGCCTACAAGGTGCCTACTGTCCTTGCTCTTTTGTTTTTCTCTCTGGTATCACAATTTGCTATTGGGGAAAAAATCTGAAACCCATTCATGCTATGATTTTACATAGGAGTATTATTAGCATTTAACCACTTACACACTAGAGCCATTGGAATGAAACATTCTGGTAGACATTCTGGTCTTATCTGGCACTGGAGGAAGCAATTTAAGGAAATGGGCCTAAAGGGGCCTGCAACTCGGAGTGTGTTCATTCTGTTACCAACCAGCTTACGCTCTTTAGTGATGACGCTTTAGAAGAGAGGGGGACAGGAAGAAAATGAGGTTGAAATCTTACTCTAAGTTCCTTAGCGTTAGCAGTCTGGCATAATATGAACTGTTCAATGTTAATGGCTATGTTTATAAAAATATGAGATGGACTGTTTTTTTTTTTCCTAGTAGAAAAAATTGAGTTCCAGATGTTTTCTCTAGTTGGACAATTCCAGTATCTCTGGGCTAAGCACCTTATCCTCAGACAGAGGCCAGGTGTACTCCGAAGTCTCCATGTTGGTGTCATAATATGCGTTCTATGATCTCTCTGCAAGACCGTTTTTGAAAAGCTTTCCCGCCCTGATAAATAAGACTGATTGGTAGTTAAGATAACACTTCTGTTTGCCTTTCCGAATCTTCTCACAGAAATGATGCCCATCTGTTGGTGAAAGGTTAGGGGGTCGGTCCCTCGATCCTCTGTTTGGAGCAGCAGTTATTTCTCTTCCTGCAACTAGATGAAATCTCAGTTCAGGGAAGCCAGTGAGAAGCAGCCCCACTCCCAGGGAACTTTCCTGAGCATCAGCTTACATATCCATAAAACGCGATACAAAGACCTGTTTCACAGACTCATCCTTGGGGTCTCTACTTCTGTAAAGCCTTCTCATTTTTTAGGTCCAGGTCAGGTCTCCCCTTTTCTCTGTGTAGTTTGTTAGTGTTTTTGTTGTCGTTGTTTTGTTTTGTTTTTATGTATCACCTCCTGGAGCCTATGGTTCCTAGAATTGACATAAATGAATTCCTGTTTAATTTTATTCTAATTGTTAAAAGAGAATAATGTGAGTTAATCTGATCACACTAGGCAGATTGTAGGCTTGATAAACGGAAGTTCTGGAATCATCCCTCAACATTCCATTTCCAAATACTGTGGTGTATTCAAAATAATAACAAAAACAATCAGATAATAACAACAATTACCACGTAGTGACTGTTATTTCCCAAGCACTCTGCTGAACTCTTCACAGGCAACTCAGTTAACAGCCCTATGAGGTAGTTAACAGCTCAGTTAACGGCACTATGAGGTAGATATTAATAGGGCCCAATTTACAGAAGAGAAGACCAAGCCTCAGAAATTGTCTTGCTGGAGTCCAGATGTAAGTTAGCAACTGGAATTTTAACCCTTGCATGAGCATGCCTGACTTCAAAGCTCTTTGCATTACTGGCTTACTGGTGGGTATAGTCCAAGTGCCCCTGCCCACCAAGTCTGCCATCCTTCCCTTACAGTCACAGCATGAAGCGGACAGTGAAAGAGAGAGAGATCGATTTTATTAAGACAAATTACACATTTTATTTTCTTTTTCCTTTATAAAAGCCTCACCAGGAAAGATTGATCCCACAGAATTTCTAATTCAAGAACACTCATTTCATAAAACATTTCAGAGATAGAAGGAGAGAGAATATGAATGCCGGGAAATAGATTAAAAGGTGTCCCCTCCAGGGACCTGGAATGATCAGACATTCCTTCCCGAATGGCATCCTGGTCACTTTCCTCCACTCCTCTACTCTCATTTTCCTTTCACTCAACCATAGCATCCAAATAGCAGCAGAGGGCTGGTGAGTCAGAGATTCAACCTCCCTCTGAGCCTTTACCCTCCTCCGTCCCAGCCTCCCATGCCTATCTGTTTAGGTTAATAACACCAAGACAGTGAGACTCAGCCCCTCTGCCAGGCAGCCAGAGAAGACACAAGTTCCTGTGTGATTTCCTTTCCTTATTTCACGACTTCCCTCCCCTTTACCCATCTTAGCGCACACGCACGCACACACACATACACACACACACGCGCATGCATGTGCATTTTAATAATGTAATAATCTTTCTATAAGTTCAATATCCAATTCCAAGCATCCTTTACCTTCATCCAAAACAACAGCAACCCATTATAGATCCAGTGAATACAGAAACCAGGCCAGTCCTTGGGGAAGGCAAGGCTTTTCTGCAGCCCCCACGTGACAGTCTCATTACGGGCACTAGGGAGGCATAGGAATCTCTGTGCTCTTTAAATAAAGGCCCTGCCAAGTGAGCTGGAGATTCCCCTACTATTTCCATGCCCCTGCTAAAGCCTCCAGGGAGAGAGAACTCTGGGGGCCTCCATAGCTGTCATCACACCTCCTCTTGGCACTAAGTTGGCAGTGAAGGAAGTAAATAGGAGAAAATAGTTTTCCAGTGTTTTCTCTCCTTTTTTGTTTTCATCTTCACAGCAGAATTTTTTTTTCCACAAGGGGAATCCGAGAAGCACAATGCTTTCTTTGTTTTAACAAGACCTGGGGAAATTCCATTGGCCTCAGTGGCTGGTGATCTGGTTGGGGTTCGAGAGAGGACAACGGCTTCCTGGGTATTCCTGTCGATAAGGCCTTTAGGGAATGGCTGGTGAACAGCCAAGGGAGAAAGAAAGGGAAGGGATGGTTTCTGTCATTGGATTGAACTGTAAAGGAGCTGCAGGATGACAGGTGGTGGCAGGAATTCCAGTGGAGTTTGTGTGTACAGTGACTCCACAGCAGAGCTGACACCTTCACAGGCTGGCTGTACACTCTGGCAGAAGGAAAGGTTGCAACATCACCAGGGCGGGACATCTGCCAGAGGTACATACCAAGGCACTTGTAAAGTTGAGGCTGCCGGTGAAGTTCCAAGAAGCCCTTTTAAAGATGGAGTAGAGGAAGGAGAAGCCAAGGGCAGCCCAAGGCCATCTCACCACTACTGCAAGGAATGGTCTATGGAGACAACAGATTCAAGAACATGTCTATTGCAAGTTCCTTGATACATGCTCTCTATTGGCCAGGAACTTGGAGCTCTTCCTTGGAGGAGCGCGGGTGATCGGGTCGAGGGGGGAAGGGTAGGAACTTAGAGAACTCATCTGGTATGTGGCTGGTATGCAGAGAGAGAGTCATTCTCTCCCTCTAGCCAGAGGCTAGCTTCCAGGCTAGCTTCTGCCATGCTTCCCTTCCCTTCCTCTACCCTGTTTCTTGACTAATCCGAAAGGCTTCATTGATTATGCTGGGTAGAGGGTGGGGAGGGAACTGCGGTCTGGGTGGGTAGTCACATCTCTTATTATCCCAGAGCCGTGGTTATAGATTCTAGAATTGACGAGCAATGTCATTGAGACCTGGGGCCCAAAGGAACTAAGCAATGATGACTGAGGAAACGTCAGAAGGGACACATCTTTCCTCTCTGAGCCTCCTTTGTTCCCATCTGGTCCTGGTCCTCCCATGAAGGAGGGTCACACTGATAGGTCATCTGACCTGGCCTTGCTGCTGGCCTTACTAAGACGTCGCTTGTCGCTGTGGTAGCCATGGGGGAGGCGGTGACCCGGTGAGACCCCGTTGGGCAGCTCAGGCTTCTGGTCATAAGGAACCTGGATGAAACCTTTCTCAGGAGTCTGCTCCTGGCCTCGCACTTGCTCAGCGGCCAGGTTGTCTGTGTTTTGTTGGGAGGCCATATTATTGCTGAAGGAATTGAAGAATTTCCCCCCAGGGCCGCTCTGCAGGCACTGGTTGAAGTCAGGGGGTGGTGTGCACCTCTGGACTGTGCTCGCAGAGGGGCCGGAGAGCTGGCACTTAGCCATGTCCTGCCGCGACTTGACGCATCGCTGTCTGATCTTCTTCCAGCCCAGGTGGTAGAGTTCGGCCAGGCTAAGGAAGAGGGACAGCGCAGCCACAGCCAGCATAAAGACGATGAAGACATTCTTCTCCGTGGGTCGGGATACGTAGCAGTTGACTGGGTGGGGACAGGGGCTCCTGCGGCAGACGTGCAGGGTGGTCAGGAAAACTCCGTAGATGAGGTACTGGCCCACGATGAAGCCCACCTCCATGGTGGTGCGGATCAGGATGCTGCACACGTAGGTGTGGAGCAGAGTGCCCTGCAGCACGATCCTCCCGTTCCCTTCCTCCCAGCAGGACGGCTCTGCCTTCTCGGCCACCGGGTACTCGTAGGAGCCGGAGCCGCCGCCCTCTCTGGCCTTCTCGGCCTCCCGCAGCCTGCGCTTCTCCTGCATGCGCACCGTGTGCATGGCGTGGCCCATGTACACCAGGGAGGGCGTGGAGACAAAGATGATCTGCAGCACCCAGAAGCGAATGTGGGAGATGGGGAAAGCCTGGTCGTAGCACACGTTCTGGCAGCCAGGCTGAATCGTATCGCAGCGGAAATCAGCCTGCTCGTCCCCCCAGGAAGACTCAGCAGCTGTGCCCAGCACGAGCATGCGGAATATGAAGAGGACAGTGAGCCAGACCTTGCCTACCACGGTGGAGTGCTTGTGTACCTCCTCCAGGAACTCTCCCAGGAAGCTCCAGTCGCCCATCGTGGCTCAGCCAGGGGACAGACGCCAAAACTTCTGCACATGGGGAAGAGAGAAGGAGAGAAAAGGAGAAGGATGTTTGTTCTGTGAAGGTCTGCAAGGTGTATCACGTTCTGGGAGTCCACTGATCCATACCAATGGGTTCTTGAAGAAAATGCAATTTAGAAGGCAAAGCACCCCAAAAAAAGCTCTCTTTCATTTCCCAGCAAAAATAAAAAGAAAGTGAAGATTCAAAGTAGTGATATTAGCAAGATGAGAGCGTGGATCCTACACTTTAACAGTTCTAGAAATACACACACACACAGAGGTGTGTGTTACAATATAGATTCTGCGCTTGCCCCACTAATTCTGCTTCAGGAGGTCTTGGATGGCCCCCAGGAATCTGGATTTGCAACAAGCAGCCCAAGTGATTCTGATGCAGGCAGTCAGGGACTGCACTGGAGAAACATGAGTATTGAACACAGGATTGGGGTCTGCAAATGTGACTCTGGGCATTTACCCCACTGAGTCTGTTTCTTCATCTATCAGATGGGGCTGCGAATAGCTACACCAGAGAATTCTGAGGATTAAATGAGATGCGGTGTGTGATATTCTGAAAATCATTCCACAACTGTTCCAAATGTTTAAATGGCTGTTGGATGGAAAGGATTTTTTTTATGGCTTCAGAGGACAGAACTAGGTGGAGGAGGAAGGAGTGAGGGTGGGATTGGCAAATTTGTCCCCGCAGGAAGCACTCTGCAAAAATCAGAACCGCCCGGCATGGGCCAGGGGTGTTAGGTGGTGGTAAACAAAAAGGGTGCTTTGGTCCTGCCAGCTAACAGTATCGCAGATGGGTGCTGACTTTCCTTGGCTGGTAAGACAATGTTGATCTCCCATACCTCAGTACAACACACCATTCCAGCCACGCAGCTCAGCTCACCCTGTTGCTAAGTTTGTGTGTCTCGTTTAAATAAGGTTCCCACACACAGATCTGCTCACTCTTACTTCCAGAATAAATGTCACAAAACTTTATGTCCCATACAAAATCCTCCCTCATCTGGCCCTGGTCTGCTTTTCCAGACTCTTCCTGCCCATCCACATGAGTTCCTTTTGTCCAGCCATGCCAAGTCTTCCCATGTGCCCTCCTCCTGTACCCCTACCTGTCCCCTCAACCCTAGATGAATCCCATTTACCTTTCAAAACCTAACTAGTCATTGCTTCCTCCAGCCCTCCCTCCTCCCTCGAGTTGAGCCTCTTCAGCTCCTGTGATGGCTCTCGGGACACTTACTGGTCTCCCAGTGTTTGCTGCCTTGTGTTGTAATCCTCGGCCTGTCTGTGTTCTCCCAGCAGGGACTGTTTGAAACTGGAGACTGTCTTTTCTTCTGTATCACCAGAGCCTGGCCCAGAGTAGGTGTTTAGAACATCTTACTTGAGTGAAGGAAGGAGGGGCTGACAGGCACTGTGGTTTCCTACCCAATAGCAAACCAATTCCCTGTTTCTTGCCTGCCTCCCATTGGCAGGGTGAAAAAGCCAAGTATCACTTTCTCAATCCCCCCTGCAGTTAGTTCTGGTAGGTGAGGTATGGGGAGAATCTAAAGCAGAGGGAATGCTCCAGAAAAGGTTTTTCTACCCCCTAACAAATGGAGTGTTCCTATCCCCCTGTGAACAAGAGAGAACCCCACTCACAGTGCTCCCATCCCTTGGTGACCAGGAGGGTGCTTCCTCACCCCTATTGCTTCCTGCCTGTGGATGGAGTTGCGTGAACCAAGATGTCTGAAGCTGTCCAGAGAATCTCAAAAATGTCAGCCAGTGCCCTGAGGCCTCTGAATCAACTCTTGAGGCACCTACCTCCAGAATTCTTACTTAGTTAATAATAAATGCCCTCATGGTTTGGCCAGGTGCGGTGGCTCATGCCTGTAATCCTAGCACTTTGGGAGGCCGAGGCGGCAGGGGGGATCACAAGGTCAGGAGTTAGAGACCAGCTTGACCAACAAGATGAAACCCCATCTCTATAAAAAATAAATAAATAAATAGATAAATGCCCTTATGGTTTAAGTCTCTAATCATTCCTAACCAACAGCATGACAAAGATCTCAGAGGGAATGGAACATAAATATTCCCTTCTTAGAATCATAAAACCTCAGATTTGGGTGGGACCTTAGAGGTTGTCAAGTTTGAACTTTGACCTTCATATCTTTGCTGCCAACGTGCTCCTGGCTTCTATCTGAACGTTCTTTACGCTTATGGAGAAAGATGGGTCCGGGTGGCACATTTCAGAGTCCGGGTTTCCTCAGCTCCTGAGTTGATTGTTACCTTGACAGGGACCAACCTCCTTGCCCTGTCTTCTCTCAGAACCCAGGTCCCAAACCTTGAGAGCGTACAGAGTCCCGGGGAATGAGGGAGTTTCTGAGTGAGCAGAAAGGGTTTTATCTCTGCTCCTCTCTATATCAAAGACCCATCCAGGTCTTGAGGCCTTTCACGTCATTTGTGATCAGACACGTGCCCCATTTCCTTAGGTGGTGAATCGCCCCCTGTTTCAGCCCCCAAATGTGGAAAATTGTGGGGCAGGTACTCAAAAGGAAAATGGCTGATTAGATAAGAATTTGAATGGTCTGTCATCTCTGCTGGGCACGTGTACAGCGTTCAGCACCTTCAGGGTCAGCCACACACGTGCAGTGACTGGACTGGGGTGAGTGTCTGAGAAAAAAGAGGCAGGGAGAGAGACTGAAAAGAAAAGGGAGTGACAAGGGGGAGTTGGAAATGGAGAAAAAGACCGTGTAAGGCTTAGGAAAAGACAGATGTGGAAGTTAGATTTACTGAGGTTCAACAAATCCCCGTTGCCATCTGCTGGGCTTGGATAAATGATTCAATCTGTGTTTCACTTTCCTCACCTGCAAAATGGACGTACTGTTAACTCATAGAGTGCTATGAGATGATGCGTGCAAAACGCTTAGCACAGTGCTCAGCAAATAAGAACTGGATAAAAGGCAGCCATTACTAGCGATGAGAGTGGTGGGGTAGGATGACAGTAGAAGAAGGAGGGAGAAGAAGAAAGTAGAGAAAGGTGCATGACAAAGGAGAAAAGAAAAGGGAGCAAGAAAGAGCAGAAGGGGAGGGAATGAGAAGAAAATGGAAATAGAAAGGAAACAGAAAGAAACAAATGTCATATTCTTCCAGGATTTGGGGCAAGCTTTCCACACTCGGTCCCTGAAGACTTTTCCCTTAACCTTCTCACTCTGTCATTCATTCCTTGCAAGTCCCCAAGGAAGTATAAAAATAGTTCCAGGCAAAGAATGTGACTCTTTGGTCTGGTCTGCCAAGAGGCTTGACTGCTGATTCCTTCACTGCGGTCCAAGGAATTCTGCCTGGAAGAGGTAAGGCACAGGTACAAGAAAGGAGCGCCTTGGAAAACCAGAAAGACAGTATCAGGAAGGATGTCTTATCCGGAGGAAACGAGAGAAAGTAGCTGAGGAGGATGGGGGTAAGGCAGACCTCCTGGGCCCACCAGAGGAAACAGAGTGAAAGACTTTTCATTTATGACTTCCTGCTGACACTCGGGCAAGGTCAAAAAAACTTAAAATTGCTACCATGTACCAGATGCTCAGTTTATAATGTGAAAGGTCGCTGGCTGAAGTTAGTTTTCCAACTACCGTGGCTCCCTTTGGATACCCCTATCTCAACCAAAGTAATGTGTAGATTAGATACTCAATGAGTTTACTGGGCGTATAGCACATAAAATGCTTTGTAGATTATTCTCTGCTTCTTGGCAGGAAGCGTGTTAGGAGGGGCACAGGAAGTTACCCATGCCATGAATAAATTCTATCAAACACAATGGCAGTTCACCTCATGGCTTTAGCGGTTACCCTCACGGGCTTCCTTCCACTTATAAAGTCCAGACTTCTTAACTTGCCATTTGAAACACTGTACGGTCTCATGTTATCTCTCTTCCACTGTTCTACTCACGCCCTCAGTACTTAAGCTTCCCAATTCCCCATGCATACATACACATTTCCGCATTTCTCACCCATTTATCTTGGCTTCTTATGTTCCCTCTGCCTAGACTGTCCGTCCCTTTGATTCATTCATTTAACAAGCTTATTGAGTGGCTACAGGGTGCCAGCCATCACTCTAGACAATGAGGTTACAGCAGGAAGGAGGGGAAACAAGCAAGGATTCCCTGCTTTCATGGCATGTAACTGACCTTGATACCCCTTAATTAAGAGGAGACATTAAACACATGATTTCAATAAAACATGACGTGTGTTAACATTAAGGAAGTATAAGGTGTTATGGGAATGTGGGGAAGAAGTCTGAATCTGGTTTATGGGTTTGGGGAGGGTCTTACAGAATTACATTCTAAAGCCCTCTGCCACTGCTACAGGTTCTGAAATTAGCAAGGCAAAAAGAGATGGTCCCTAGAACCTGGAAGAGAACCATCGCATCTCTAAAGGTTCTTCACTCCAAAACCTTCAACATCCTGTTTCAACATGTCCTGTCCTGAGCAAATTTTGGAGGGGCCATTAGGAAACTTGTTTGGCAATGGTAGCATTGGTGCTTAGGTAAGAGGAAGAGGGCCAGAGGAAGGATTTTGTGTATAGTGAGCATAAATCATTTTATGCCTTTATTTCGTGTACTGTATGGCCAAATGGCTGGAAATAAAGCTCAGGCATCCACATTCCTAATCCTGTGCTGCTGCTCTTTGTTTTGTTTTTGTTTTTGTTTTGAGACAGAGTCTCGCTTTGTCACTCAGGCTGGAGTGCAGCGGTGTGATCTCAGCTCACTGCAACCTCTGCCTCCCAGGCTCAAGCAATTCTCCCTGTCTCACCCCCTGAGTAGCTGGAATTACAGGCACGCACCACCACGCCCAGTTAATTTTTGTATTTTTAGTAGAGACGCGGTTTCACCATGTTGGTCAGGTTCGTCTCAAACTCCTGACCTCAGGTGATCCGCCCTCCTCGGCCTCCCAAAGTGCTTGGATTACAGGTGTGAGCCACCGCGCCTGGCCCCGTGCTCCTTCTTAGTGACATTATGGTCCCCCTACATGGCCAATGTTTTTCAAAGAAAATCATTTCAGAGCAACCCAGGTTAATCATAAACTCATAGCCAGACCTCTTCCCCTGACTCCACAGATCTACAGTGAAATGGAGAAGTCTTCTAAAATTGACCTCAGCCCTCTTTGGTGTTTCCTGAACTCCAGAAGACTCTAAATTACCATCCAGCATGTAGGATACATTCTCACACTTGGTTATATATTTCCTTAGACTTGTTTTCCAAAAATTTGTCTGTCAGCCAACCTGCAGGCACTTTGCTGAGTCTCCCCTGAGAACAGTACCAAAGAGGTGCAAGGCCTGACACTTACTGAGCACTCAGTGATGTCTATTAAATTAATGAAAATAGCCGGGCATGATAACTCATGCCCGTGATCCCAGCACTTTGGGAGGCCGAGGTGGGTGGATCACCCGAGGTCAGGAGTTCAAGACCAGCCTGGCCAACATTGTGAAAACCTGTCTGTACTAAAAATACAAAAATTAGCCCAGGGTGATGGTGGGTGCCTGTAATCCCAGCTACTCAGAGGCTGAGGCAGGGAATCAATTGAATCTGGGCGGCAGAGGTTGCAGTGAGCCAAGATCATGCCAGTGCACTCCAGCCTGGGCAACAGAGAGAGACTCTTGTCTGAAAAAAAAAATTAATAAAGTCAGCCGCGATTCCTTCCTCAAGTGTTTAACAGCTTTTTCTCTCAAATGGGGAGTATGCTTCTCAAAATCAAAAGCCCTGTCTTCTACTTTGTATTCTTATTGCATTAAGCTCTCTCGTTTGGTACGTAATAAATGCTTTCTTAATGATAGAAGAAAATATTTGGCTAGCAGTAAGCTTGCAAAGTGGTCCTAAGGAGACTCAAATCTTTCTTCTTAAGGTCAGCAATAAACATAAAACGTTACGATAAGTAAATAAAAATAAAAGCTTACATACTGTTCAAAAAGTGCTTCTACATTCTCTTGTTGGTTCCAAGAGAGCAGGGTCATATTTGTTCTGTTTGAGACTGAATACCTTCAGAATGTTACAGACATTCCATTTTTATTGTTGAGCAAATAATTCCTCATAACCACTCTGTGGGACGATTGTTATTGCCTGTGTTTTGCAGAGGAGGAAACATGCAAAGGTGATTTGTTCAAAGAAATGATTAATGGTGGCAGAATCAGGGCTTCATTCCGGAGTTTCTGTTCAAAGACGTGCATGCCAGAAAGTTTCATTCCATGTCCCTTCCGAGGGTGGAGCTCATCAATTCTTAGGCCTTGGAGAGAACTTCCCAGTGGAGATAACTCTTGTGTAGGAGTTAGGTGTCCGTGATATTTGTAGGGGTGTGGAGTGGATGGAGGAGTTGCAGAAGAGATGAGGGGATTTCAGACAAAGGCAAGACTGCATGAACAAATTCATTGAAATGAAAATCAGCATGGTTGTAGAGTGCAATGAGCAGAGCATGGAGGGAGAGGCTGCAGAACACACGGGAT